ATATAAATTAAATTATTTAATTTTAATAATTTATTTCTCTAATAGTAGATATAAACTAACAAAAATTTAATAAAATTTATGGTATTCTTGCTGAGTATTAGGATTGAATTTCTTTAATTACCGTAAAAGAGATGACATACAACTCAAATGACATTCTTAAGGGAAAAAATTTATTAATAATTTTAATAGCATTCTCTTGTGACTCTAAAATTACAAGAACTTTGTCAATAGGGTACATACGATTACGATGTCTCGATGAAACGCCATATCCGAGGAATTTTAGCAATGATGATGAAACATATGATGAGAGCGACAACGAGAGCGTTTACAGTCGTAATTCAAACATGATGTTGATGAAGAAAAAAGATCTTCAGACCTCTACTTTTAATAGTAGATATTTCTCCAATTTACACAATGATGAAACGATATATGAAGATCAAGTATCTCTCTCGCATGAAAATATTTACAGAACTTCATCCAATCACATCAAAACCGAGTCTAACTGTGAGCACATATCTTCGGTGCAGAACCAAAGAAGTCACAGCAAGAAAATGTGGTCGAATAGCGAATTGGAGATCAGGAAAGAAAGTTACCAACAACCTGACTCTACGAAACCAGTGAAACCAAAAGTCTTCAGACCACCAAGCAGCTTGAGTTCCGGCTACGATAGCGAAGGGAGCTATCACACTGTGTCTTCTAATGCAAAGGCTAGACGTAACATGAAGCATAATAAGATGAACGCGCCAAGCAAGACATATCCCAACTCGATGATCCCGCCGCAATGCTTCAAGGAAGTCAAGATCAATAACAAAGGCAATATTTACAGAATAGGAGAGAAAACAAAGCAACTACAAAATAACAAGCAGCTTCGCCTCAGGATAGCCGAGAGGCAGTATGACTGCAAAGCCTTCTACACTAGCAGTGAGATGTTTATGAACCATTTTGTTGACTTCTTTGTAAATCAGCTGGCCGAGCTGCTAGGTTTTAAACCAAACGATCAAAATTACGTGGAAAATTCGGTTATCCACTGCGATAAAATGATAGAATCGCACAGCCACAAACTGCGTAGGATCGAATCCTACGAAATCACGCCGACGATATGGCTGCAATGGCCGGAATCCGCTCTGGAATGGTTAGATCGACCGAGAAGCACGTGGCCTAATTACAACGATATCGGCAAGGTGAAGGATTTTGGTTGTTATGTGGTACCCGAAAATTCTCTACCAAACAAGAGAGATCTTTTATCGAGACATAAAAATGTCAAAAAGAATATACATCAGGAAATCGAATGGCAGCTGACGTTTCCAGCCGCGGAACGTTATCTGGAGACTTGCATGACCCGCTCGCAAGTACAAGTGTACTTGATCGCGCTGATGCTTCATAAAACATTCTTAAGGCCAGTCCTGGATACTATGCATGGTCTGACGACTTCTCATATTAGAAACAAGCTATTCTGGTTGATTGAAGAAGACGACCGACCCTCGCAGTGGCCTGACAATCGGACCGGTGAGTGTCTAAACAAGCTGCTGATCAGTCTTTATCGCTGCATCAGCCAAAACGAGCCGACCATGCCTGACTATTTTGTCCGTGACAAAAACATGTTTAGCAAAGTGTCGTGCGACTATTTGTTGCGCAGCCAGAAACAACTAAAGAGGATAATTGAGAATCCTATTATGTACGTGTTCCATGCAATGGAGAACATCAAGCATAGTAACAAATTCTTTCCACGATTGGACTTTGCGAAGCTATTCAAGATACTGACAGTTCAACCGTGGTTAGCTGTAGTTAACCCGGCCATAGACATGCCGAGAACAACCGAAGAGTCCCATAGGGAAGAGATTTACAATAGATCTGGTGGATTCTGGGACACCGCTCGAATGAAGGATCAGCAAAACTATAGTACGCGAGTAATTACGAGTAAAACGCTTATCACCCCACGCAAGGCCACGGACTTTATCGTCGAAATCTCGGTGAGTTCCTTAAGCGATAAGATTATCGATTGAAATATGTGATCGATTGGAGAGCAATCCAACATAACATATCACTATCGTAAACGATTATGCTAGACAAAAAGCGCCAAATCAATCCATAATGTTACACGACACTTCGCAAATCTAATCTTATCTTCATTCCTCTTTGTGATTAATGGATCAAGAGTCACGGCCAACTCATATTCGCGTCTCTCATTTTTCTTCTTCTTTTTTTTTTTTTAGGAACGCTGTGCCAAGTTGGAAGGTTTAAGGTTGGCTGCTCTGTTGGATTTCTTTGTTAGACATTTTATAAAAATGGCCGAATGCTGTCATAGGTATAGGTCTTATCATCAGAAAGAGGTTTATCTCGATCAAGCCGATCGACTCTCGATTATCCTATCGGACCTGACCAGATACAAGAACGACGCTAAAGCTTATCGCGACAAGATCCACGCTTTAAGAATGAAAGCGGCGACGAATTCAACGAAATTACCAAACGAGCCGCCGGAGACACCCAAGAGGAATGCAGAGCCTATATTCGTCAGTACTTTAAAAGATCGTTACAGGCCAAAAGATGAACAACCACAATCTAGCCATGAATATATGGAGGAATACACAGATAAGATCACGAAAGAAATCACTCATGAAGTACGGTTTAAAGATGAGAAAAACGTGGAGGAAAATATAAAAATTGCAAACGTTACAACGAGCGAAGAAGATTCTTATACGTCGAGAAAACCTGTATCGAAGAATCAAAGTGACGAGTCGACCTCAGATACAATTCAAAGAGTAGTCTCTCTAACGGATTATTTAAGCGAAACATCTATATGATATATGTTTTTATTAAGCTCAGGGTGTATATGAAAACTATTGAAAAGACAAATGTTAGTATTCAATGTTTAAGGCGGGTCCCCTGATTAAAATAATATTCATTATTATATTTCGAAAGTGATTGATAATCAATTTAGTAAGTATTCGAGGAAGACTGAGCGTGCGTATAGCCTTGCAAACTGTTGATATTCGATCATTGCGTTATATGCAAAAGCGAACAGAGTGATTACTAATAGTTAAAATAATTTATAAAAATACCTAATTGCTACGACACAGTTAGATTTGAGTCACTTTTGTAAGATAATACTGTTATTATAATATGGAATATAACTTGTAAAGTAGATTGTATGTGTGAGTTATTAGATTAGACATTTCAAACAAATTTTTTATTAAGAAGTATTCTAATTTTAGAAAAATTGTTTTATATCTTGTAATACGTATCTTTCATTTTTTTCCCATTTTTTCCATTTTTTTTTTTTGATATTTTATGTCTCTTGCGAATAAAAATCACCGACAAATTTCAAAACAATATCATAATGTTTTATATTTTTCATTATCGTTAATCTCATTATTTTTGTCGATTTATGTTATGTGTGCTTTATTATTGCGATTAAATATATATGATATCTCTTCAATAAAATATTTATGCTATGAAATCGAGAGAAAAGTAAATCTATTATATCATATATTTTACTATTTTATAACTTTTAAATTGCAGAAAATTATTTGGAAAAAACAATTAATCAATCATCTTTTTCATAAATATCTCATTTTTTTAAATTATCCTTGTAAATATAATATGTAAATATGTATAATTATTCTTTTTATGTATGTAATTGTACACGTAAAAGTAATTGAATATTATATATTTAAAAGGATGTAATAATTAGTATAAATGCTTTTTTACTTACTTCAACTCTACCACGGTCATTATTAATATAGAAACCGGCGGTGCCCTCGCTGCCATATAATTTGTATCCCATGTTTTCCAAATTTTTGATAGACTCATACAATTCTTCTTTATGCTGAAATGTGTGTGAAATCGATTATTTTTATCTTTATTAAAAAACGTATTTTTTTAAATACAATTTAAAGACTTTGAATGCGGCAATTTACTGCTTTATCGTATAACAGTAATAACCCAGTAAACACAAAGTAACAGTAATATAACATCAATGTCATAATTTCCCACTCAACAATGTAACTGCAATATAACATGCCTTATACGTAACAGTTACATTGTTGAGTGGAAAATTATAACATTATTATTGTTACTTTGTGTTTACTGGGAAGAGATTTTCATTGCAAATATTATCAATATTACAAATCTCCAAAGAAGTAAAATATATATATTTCCAAAGCAAATATATATTTTACTTCTTCTATATACATTCTATATACATATATAATGCACCAAGTATGTATAAAGTATATATCTATAAAATTTATTTATTATTTATTGTAAAAACAAGACACAATTTCTCCCATATACAATCTAATTACCTCAAAATCTCCTATAGAGAGGAAGATACCCTTTTGAGGAATATGAAAACCGGTGCTTATCATGGCTTTTAAATAAGCTTTGTAGCGATTTTCATCGAAACAGGCTACTTCTCCAGTAGATACCATTTCGACACCCAGCATCACATCAGCACCTTTAATTGAATTATACAGATAATAATGCGGAGAATAATACGGTAATGTTTATTTAAAATATATTGTATAATGATTTTAGAGAACGATAGAAAGAGAAAATGCGTGCGTATGTTGCATGACACAAAATAGAATCGTGAAAAAAATTAACAATTACTAATTTGTTTAAAAAGATGTGACGACATAAAATATTATACTCAACATTACGACAAAATAATTTCCCGCTGAATATCATTTTTATATATTATAGGCTAACTATAATAATGTTGAATAGTATTTTATTTAAGCAATAAATTTAAATAACTTGAAAAACTCGAGCTTAAACTAATAAAGAACAATTTGATAGAAAATTTAAATAAACAAAAAGAAATAAATTTATCTGACAAAAATATGAAGAAATAACGTGAGATGTATAGAAGCATAAGGAGATGTATAAAAGAATAATATAGTATATTAAATATATATGCTACTTAAGTATAATTTCTTTTATAAAAATTGCATATATAAATAGCCGAAATTCTTACCAGCAAGACGGGAAAAAGAAAATTGCGGCACTTTCACTCCAACTTTTCCGCAGCCAGCTAAAACGTCCACAGGCTCAATTTTTTCGCCGACGATTAAACGAGTTGCTGTCGCGACAAAGTCATGATCTAAGGTTTTCGAGACAAAAGGAAAAGATCTGGATACTCTTACGTTACACTCAATCACTTTTAATTTATTCTCCTGCATAAATAAAGATATTATTAATTTATTAGTTTCTGTTAAAAATAAATTTATACAATAAAAATACGAAATTAATATGTAATTAAAATAGTAAAAAAGAAGAAGGTGAAATAGATAGTATGAAGTTGTTATTATTAAAAATATATATAATTAATATTAAAATCATATTTGTCTTTTTTAATTGATCAATCTTCAAACACACATAAGAACTTAGCAATATCCACCTTCGCAATTAGTTGCATGTTGAAAGGACCAGTGATTCCCAGAGATTTCGCCACTTCTTTTGAGATACGTTTTATCTCCGTCAGAGTTTGCGCATTGATATCCTGTGGTGGCGTTACTAATGTAGCATCTCCTGAATGAACACCGGCATTTTCAACATGTTCAGATACTGCCATGCAATATATCTTTCCTTCATCAGCAACAGCATCGACGTCGATTTCTTTCGCCTCGAGAATAAATTCCGATATCACTACAGGATGCTCTTTGCTAACTTCGCTCGCGCTTTTCAAATAAGACTCGAGATCATTATTTGAATAGGCAACATTCATTGCGGCTCCACTTAACACATATGAAGGCCGAACAAGGCATGGATAGTGAACTTCCTCGCAAAATTCAATAGCAGTTTTTAAATTTGTCAATTCTTTCCATCTAAAACGAGAAACAATTGCAAATAGAATTGTGCAATAAATATAAATTTTCATATAAACACTATTCAAAAACAAAAAAAAAGAGTAGAGAACACTTTTCATATGCTAAAAATCGGACTATTTTCAAACTGCTGAAACTTGGCGAAAAATCAATTAATTTTTTCTTAATTTTATGTACGATGATTTTTCACAGAGTTTCAACGGTTTGAAAATAGCTCAATTTTTAGCGTATAAAAAGTATTCCTTATTTTTTATTTATTTTTTTAGTAGTGTACATATATTTACTGCGCGCATACCTGGGTTGCGATATCTTGATGCTATCGAGCATACGAGAAAATTTAAAACGGTTTTCGGCGCGATCGACGGACTCCGGCGATGTTCCAAGGATTTGAGCCCCTTGTCTGTGCAGATCCATGGCAATATTGTTTGGTAGCTGTCCACCCATCGACAATATTATACCTTCTGGGCTCTCATAATCATATATGTCCATTACCACTTCAAAGGAGATTTCCTCAAAGTACAATCTATCGCTCATGTCATAGTCTGTACTGACTGTTTCTGGGTTGTAATTGACCATTATTGTCTTACGTCCAAGATTTCGCAATTCGCGTAGGCAACTCACGGCACACCAATCAAATTCTACTGAGCTGCCGATTCTGTATACTCCGGAACCTAAAAAAGAAATAATATATTATACTTTCTGATCTTTGTAACAATATATCACTTTTACTTAATATTAAATTTATTGTTTAATCATATTTATATCAATAATCATCAGTCGCTTGTCATATCCCTTTTACATATAAGTAATTATAAAAAAAGTCATAATAATAAAAGAGTTGTTTGTAATTTAATTGAATATATACACGATGTTAAATTAGCAAAATTTATCTTTTTTATTAAGAAAAGTTTTGTTTATTGCGATTACTTATATATAACGATTAAACAATAATTATATGTATACATATAATACAAATCTAACATGACGTATTTGACTTAAGTACTTAAATATTTCAATTAAAAAAATGATAATTAGTTGAACGCATTTAGTCAAGTTAACAACTTTTTTTTCTCAGTGTACCTATCACCATTGTGTATCCGCCAGAAAATTTCACATCGTGGGTAGTGCCATTGTACGTTAAATAAAGATAGTTTGTAGTGGCTGGCCATTCAGCAGCGACTGTATCAATTTGCTTGACCATTGGTTGAATTTTATAGTTCTGTCTTTGTCTTCTGACAGCTAATTCGGAGCTTTTCACAAGTGCGGCAATCTGTTTATCCGAGAAGCCGTTCTGCTTTGCGCCCAGTAGCAAGTCGTGCGAAAGTTTTGTACAATCGATGTTTTCTAAGAGTCTATAATAATCGATAATGTTCTTCATTTTTTCTAGAAACCAGCGATCTATTTTGGTGAGCTCGTATAATCGATCGATCGTGTAACCGGCCTTGATCGAAGCAGCGAGAACGAACATTCTTTTGTCAGTCGGTTTTTCCAAATCTTCATCGTTGATCGCCTCCACGTAAGGATCGAAGCCATTCACATTTTCATTAGCCATTCTCAATGCCTTCTGAAAAGCTTCCTCGAATTTACGTCCGATCGCCATTACTTCACCTACGCTCTTCATAGAACTGCCGATCTGAAAAGTATTCGATATCATTTTTATTCAACTAGCTTTTATTTTATCGTTACGTTTTCAAAATATTATATTATATATATACATATATAGATTAAGGAACTATATATATTCTCTCTCTTTCTAATATTGTTTTATAAAGTTAAAATTAAAGAGTTATCCAATACCTTGGTACTGACACGATGAAATTTGCTAAGATCCCATCTGGGTATTTTAACTACACAGTAATCAAGACTCGGCTCAAAACAAGCTGTTGTTTTACCAGTGACAGAATTACGAATATCCGATAAGCGTATTCCAAGAGCTAATTTGGCAGCGACATAAGCCAAAGGATAGCCGGTGGCTTTACTGGCTAAAGCCGAGCTTCTAGACAATCTAGCATTCACCTCGATAATGTAATATTCTTCGGAGGAAGGATTGAACGCATATTGAATATTACATTCTCCGACGATGCCAAAATGCTTAATGACCTTAATAGCAGTTGTTCGTAGCATATTATATTCTTTATTGGACAATGTTTGACTCGGCGCGACGACAATCGATTCACCAGTGTGAATACCGAGGGGATCGACATTTTCCATATTGCATACTGTGATACAGTTGTCGTACGCATCACGGACAACCTCGTACTCTACCTCCTTCCAGCCTTGCAATGATTTATCAATTATTAATTGAGTGGAATGAGCTAAAGCTTGTTGCGCTAGCATTCTCAGCTCTTCCTTCGTATTGGCAAAACCTGATCCGAGACCACCGAGCGAGAATGCAGCGCGCGCCATTACAGGATAACCCAGTTTTTCAGCGGCTTCTAATGCCTGTTTAAAAAGAAATGATATATATTGAAAACAAACACGTTGATTTGTTAAATATAACATTCTATTTTTACAAAAAAAGAATTGTGAATACTATTGAAGAATCAAAGATCTCTTAATAATTGATTCAAATATCGCAAATATTTTTTAGCAATCAAAAATTTTATTAAATATACCGGAACACGATATTTTTGTACAAAATTGATATAAGATAATCTGCGCTGTTTATTTCATAAAATTGTAATTTTAAAAAATTGTAAGAGACATTTAATCTATAAAAAGATATTGCCAAATTATTTATATACCTCTTGAACAGAATACACGGCAGCACTCGGTGCGACTCTTTCATTTATCTCGCTGACACGATCTGCGAATATCTTTCTGTCTTCAGTCTGTATGATGGATTCGATTGGCGTCCCTAGGATTTTAACATTGTACTTTGCAAACACGCCATTTCTTTCAAGTTCTACGCCGCAGTTAAGAGCAGTTTGTCCACCAAATGTTAATAGTACGCCATCCGGTCTCTCTGATTGTATTACCTAAAATAGATTATTAAAAAAAATATTCTTCTTTTTTTTCTTATAAAATAATTTAATATTAAGAAATATATTATATTAAGTAAATATCCGCATATCTTTGATAGGAGATATCAAATCGAAAATTTACAACTATTTAGAACACTCTGTGTATAATATTAGCGATGTTGTCGAAATAAAAATAAACAATTAGTTATTATTATAGTAATTAGTGATAAATCATTAATCAAAAAGTTTAGCCTTTAAATGATCTTTAATTCTTTAAATGTATTTTAGCTTACCTGCTCGACATATTCTGGTGTAATTGGCAAGAAATATACTTTATCGGCCATGCCTTTTGATGTTTGTACCGTGGCAATATTAGGATTTATCAAAAGAGTCTGTATCGATTCTTCTTTTAACGCTTTTATCGCCTGAGAGCCCGAATAATCGAATTCTCCGGCTTGGCCAATGCTAAGTCCTCCTGAGCCCAAAATTAATATTTTCTTAGGCCGTTCGGGTATAATTAGAGTCGAAGATTTGTCGTAGATTAGCTTTTGAGTGAGCCTATCCTTTATAGAGATCCTAGGACGACCCTCGATTTCGTCCTTCACGCTCTCCAAGAACACATCGAAGAGACATTCGAGATCCTCAGGTCCTGCCGTGTGTTCCGGATGAAATTGAACGGAGAAATACGGCAGATTTGAATGAACTATACCCTCATTGGTATTGTCATTAGTGTTGGTAAAGAGCACCTCCCAATCGGCTGGTAATTGAGCTGCCTCGACGCAAAATCCGTGATTCTGCGAAGTCATATAACAACGTCCGGTACTGTGATGCGTTGCCGGTTGATTGTGACCTCGGTTGCCATAGCTGAAAATGAATGACATTACTTGTATGACGGTAATCTATTATACTCTGTATCATATGACAGGAAGATATTTGTACTCTGATGAAAGAATAATAATATTTCGAACAACGATAGAGGAAGGAAATATCAAGATCAGAACATTTGAAGCAAAAAAGTGTAATTTATCACATTTTTGAAAATCTGTCTCTCAAGCAGCATTTGCTAATCTGATAAAAATAGTATTGATATGATTTATGTCGTCACATACTTCATTTTATATGTGATACAACCAGCAGCTATGGATAATAATTGATGTCCAAGACATATGCCAAAAATTGGTGTTTTCTTTTCTTGCGAGAGAACCTTTCGGATATTTTCGACAGTTACTTCGCATATGCTGGGATCACCTGGACCGTTGCTGAGGAATAGACCGTCGTATTCGGCAGCATCCAAATCATAGTTCCATGGTACAACGTCCACACGAGCACCACGTCTTAACAGACATCTCAATTGATTGTATTTTAATCCACAATCAACCACGCATATACGAGGATATCCATTCGGATTATATATTGGATATACGTTCGAAATCGGCTAAAAATCGTTATATAAAAAATCATTGTATAAAGGTTATGTGGAAAAAAAAGAATTGTCTGTATAATGCCATAAAAAGCACGAATTAAATTGCATTAATGTCTTTGTAGCTTTATTTAATATGTAATAGAATACTAACATATTTGTGGTATTAATACTAAATAATTTTTGTTATTCTATTTAATCATTTGTCACGATAAACGTGACAATGCCAAAAATTGAAAATTGGAAATTGAACATTGAAAATCATTATTCAAAAAGTTAATCGAGTGTTTTGAAATTCTATATAATGTGATAATTCTAATATAAAAAAATGTTACATTACCAGAGAAACTTCTGCAACAAGATTTCTCTTGTTGGGATCTTCTATTGGAGGTATTATCGGCAAAGTGGTTGACGGTGGTTGACCAAACATTATCCTACCCAATAAAGTACCTTTTTCGCGAATAACTTTTGTCAATGCTCGTGTGTCGATCTCATATATTCCAGGTACATTTTGTTCTTTCATCCATGCGGATAGCGTCTTGGTTTGCCGCCAATGACTGGGTCGTTCACAAATTTCTCCGACTACTAGCCCAGCGGCCCAAATACGGTGTGACTCGAACCAGCTATATCAAAATTAATATTTTAAAGATTAGTATTTCCTCTCAAACATTATTTTCAACATCTCTCTCTCAAATTGTATATATATACGTATTGTAATATACATACGTATATTAATTCTACTTTAATCCATAAACATTCTGCTGAAAATTTAAAATGGTTGTTTGCGCAAATATATTTTATAAAAACTCGGACTTTTCTGTTCAGTTTACTGTGCTCTACCTGCTCACGAGCGTTGTCAAGGGTGCTTTGGGACACCCTGTATATATATAGCATATATAAGACGAAGTCTTATGTTCCACGACAGTTTTGATTCGCTCGATCTATATGCGATATATAACGATTAACATTGTTACTGCGTGAATTCGTTAACGGGCACTGAATTAAATTTTATTGCGGCTACTTACTATGGTATGCCGTTCTCATCTTTTTCGTCACCAAAAACACCGTAATTTCCTATAAGCGGATATGTTAGCACCAGAATTTGAGCATGGTAAGAAGGATCCGTGAGTGATTCCGAATAACCGACCATACCAGTCTGGAAGACTATAAAAATAGTAATCTTTTTTATATGTGCATAAAATATATAAATATGTATACATATATATAATACACACGCTTTATTATCTTACTTGTGTAATATTTATGTTTAAACGCAAATCTAATATATCTAAAAGAAATGCTTTTCTCAAACAGTCACAATTAAAAAGCCTTATAAATTTATATAATTTCTATTATATAAATTTCTAATTTTATTTTGCATTGCTCTATCGGAACAAATAAAAATTTAACGCCGTAAAGCATACATCTTATTGCTAGTATTTTATTGATCGTAATTATATCTCGTAAAGAAATGTACTCGCGGATGTCTCGAGGACTTTGAGTTCAATCAGTTTGATTCATTTTAAAACGTTAAATTAAAAGTTAATAAAATGTAAACACAAAAAATTGCAAAGTCTCATCTATATGTATATTTAAAATCTATATTATTATTTTTGATTTCACAGAATTTACAATTTAACAAGAAGACTAATGTCACAATATTATTAACAAAGATCAATTAATGCTCAATTCTTGAATCAGAATTTATTGTATAACACAGTCGTATTAATTTTTTATTCATTTTCATTGTTACAATAATGCAATCGTATGACGTGTGTATATAGTATTTAAGTAAGCTTTTTTTTATTAAAATATATATATATATTTTTTTTAATAATAGGAGAAATAAGTTCAAAGTTATAACGATTACTAAGTGAAAAAAAAGTTGGCATAAGAACCGCGGTAATTAGAGCGCAAACTTGTTTTAGTATATCACAAAATATTCAATTTCATTAGAATTTCATTAGAAAATATACACGGAAAAAAAAAATTTTCGCTACCATAGCTAATCATGGTTTGCAAAATAAATTTCTAAAGCAAAACGATTTGCTGTTGCACCTAATAAATAGGTATCGCAGCTAAGATGTTCGCTGTCCATATATTACGACTGAAATCTAGTTACCACTGTCCATA